TCTTCTGCAATGGTCCCTAAGCCCTGAGAGGCAGAGGCTTAGTATAGGAGTCCTATCCAGGGACATGCATTCTGCAGTCTCTTATTCTCTGCATTATGGCCAGTTGTGGCTTTCTTTGATCTCCAAGAGGAAGCTTTGCTGGTAAAAACTGAGAAATGCATTAATATTCTCTCTGCTCTCTGTTCCACTATGTTCCATGAGACTTAGGTGTAGAGGTTGCATTGTAGATGTGTCACTTAGGGCTAGGCATCTCACAGACACTTATTCTCTGCATTTGACAAGCTGTGTAACTTTGTAATAGCTTCCATCTGTTGCAAAAAGACGTTTCTTTGAATAATTGTGAAAGGTATACTTGTCTGTAAATATAAGGATACTTTTTTAGCATATGGTAAGAAATTATGTTTGTCTATGGATGTGACAAGATGTAGGGTTTTCTCTAGGATCTGTAACCTCTCCAGCCATGTATATTTGACTGTTTATAGTATCACAGATGAGTTTCCCCCCATTGAGTGGGCTTTAAGTCCAATTAGATAGCTGTTGATTATCCCCAAGATAAAAGTGCCACTACTGCACCAATAGAGACAATCATTATTGTGGTTGTTGGGTTTTGCAGCTGGTTTGGACCACTGATTGGCTTTATCCCTGAGCAGCTTCTATAGTATCCTCTGATGCTATGAAAGCTAGTCTTCAGGGATGAGGTTTCCTGGCCATTTCCAGCTCTATTGCTTCAAGTAGTGTGTCTTAAGTATGTTCTGTCTTCAATAGGGCCTTATGGTCAGGTTCTGGGAGGCAATCAAGGGCTGTGGCAATGGCCTATGTTTTTTTTATTACACCTGTTTCTTACTATCCCCCTCTCCTGGGTTTCTTCCTCCCCTTTATTCCATGGTTCCTTTCCATTTTCCTAGCTCCCATGGTTACATCATGACATTTGGAGCTAAGATCCACAAATGAGAGTGAACATAAGTCACTTGTTTTACTGGGTCTGTATTACTTCACTTAGTACAACAGTTTCTAGTCCCATCCATTTACCTGCAAATTTCACCATTTTGTTCTTCTTTACCATTGAGTAGAACTCCATTGAATAAATGTACCACATTTTCATTACTTATTCATCAGCTGAAGGACATTTAGGTTGTTTCTATTTCTTTGCTATTGTGAAAGAGCAGCAACAAACGTGGCTGCACAGGTATCGCTGCAGAAAAGTCCTTTGGATTTATGTAAAGGAGTGGTATAACTGGATCATACCATAGATTTATTTTTAGGTTTTAAAGAGTTCTCCATACTTCTTTTCACAGTGGTTGAGTATTCTTCTTTCCCCAAAGTCTCACATCAGCATTTGGTGTCATTTGTTCTCTTGATCTTGTTCATTGTTCATTCTTTGCAGTTAGGGACATGTATACCAAAACGATTCATCTTACTCCTATGTGATTTTTTTTTGACTTAATGTGGTATGAATATAAACCTTACTTTCTGCTTATTAGGTAAATCCTGTTATACACCACCACTTTACTGATTCAAGGTCTCAGTCAGACTGCTATCATTTTCTTCATCCCTTCACTGCTTGATCCATCAGTCATTAATAAGTAGAAATCTTACACCGCTGGTGATTCCACTATTATCTTTCCATTCTAATTTTCAGGTCTTCATTTTCCCCTTGATCATTTTCTCCCTTTTGATTCTATTCTATGCCATACTCTATCATATATGGTACTCCAACTTCATGTTCTTTGAAACATGGAGATTGCATTTGGGAGACAACCAATTAACAAGGAAGAGAGTTTCCTCCATAAGTTTCATATTCTTATAATCTAGCAAACTATCTATTCGTGTTGCACATTGGTACACTATATTTGGTCTTAAAAACAATCAATACAAGCAATAATGCTTTTTTTTTAAATTGAGAGAGAACAAAGTGCAAGGCACTATTCCAAGCCCTTTATAGGCATTAACTCATTTAGTCATTATTTCACCCCATGAGAAAGGTTCTGTTATCATGCTTGTTTTCACACATGCTTGTTTTTAAATTTTGTTTGTTTTTTGGTACAGGGTCCTCCTGAGCCCCAGCTGGCCGGGAACTCAGTATGTAAAACAACCAGGCTTGCCTTGATTTCACAGAGATCTGCTTGCCTCTGCCTCCTAAGTGCTGGGATTAAAGCTGTGCATCACAAGTGGCTTTAACATTTTCTTTTAATTTTACGTTTCTATTTTTAAAAAACGTTTTAGAATTTCATACATGAGTATTTGTATTTGCATTATTTCTCTCTCCCAGTCTCCCTCTAACTCCTGCCATGCTCCCCAACTCCCTCTCAACTTCTTGACCTTTTTTATTGTTATTGTGACATATACATATATACATATGTAGATACATTTACAAATATACATACATACACACATATTTATATACACATGCATAAATATACATGTATAAAATGCATTGAGTCCATTTAGTGGTACTCATTTGTACCTATGTTTAAGGCTGCCCATTTGAGGTTAGATAACCTATCAGAGAGTTAGTCTGTGGAGGAAACTGATTCTCCCTTCCTTAGCATCACTTATAACTCTTCATTTTGAGGTGGGACCCTATGAAATTTCCCACATCCATCTTGGCATGTCAACTGATTTTGTCATTATGCAAATCTTAAACTATGGAGATTTCATTGGGAGATTTCACTTGAGCAGCTTCCCTATCATGTCTAGAATGTATTAACTAGCCACAGGTATCTTGTCCCTCTGGCCCTTTATTCTGCCCCCTCTTCTGTGATGTTGTGATGTTACCTGAATCCTAAGTGTAGAGGTTGAATTCTTGATGTGTCACTTAGGGTTGGGCACCTCACAGTCACTTATTTCTCTGCATATGACCAGTTGTGGAACTTTTTAATAGTCTCCATCTGTTGCAAAAAGAAGCTTCTTTGATGAGTGGTGAGAGGCATACTTTGTAAATATATGGATATGTATTTAGAATATAGTAAGAAGCTATTTTGTTCTAGGGAAGTGAGAGAAGTAGGTCTTCCTTAAGGTCTCTGGACCTCTCCAAACAAGTGTACTTGGCTACGTTTACAGTACCACACATGATTTCCCTCCCATTGAGCAGGTAGAGGTCTGTTCTTGCTCAATTACTCTACCAGCAGGTATGAGGCGAGCAAGCTGAGTACAGCACTGACATCTGTGGCCATTAAAATAGTCCGTCTCTTATTGATACTGCTCATGATTATTATGTGTTTATGTGTTGTGTCAGCAGAAACACTATGCAAAGTCTCACCGATTTTCCTGTTGATTACCTGAAAACGGCTGAATGTTTCTTAAAAGCTATTAGAAGCTTCCTCTACTGGAAAGTAGTGAATGCTTTATGAGGTAGACATACACAAAAGTCTTCCAGTCATTTGTGGATATACTCTTAAAAGGGATTATATGACTCTGGATCCTTCTGTCTCTCCCTTCAGCTCTGGGCTGCCGTCCAGTGAGAAGTTTACTGTGCTAGTTGTTGCTTGCCTCACTAAGCCCCAAAGCAAAAGGGTCTGGCAACTGTGGACTGAAATCTATGTGAACCAAAATAAACCCTCCCTCTTCTTAGGTTGATCATCTTTGGTATTTTGTAATGATAATGAAAAATTGACTAGTACAGCGTCTATTTAAACATCAGTACTATTCAAGTTACAAGCACTGGGCACACAGAAAGGAGGCAGCAGCAGGCAAAGTGACTAAGGGTGAGAGATGTGCACCTGATTAAGTCCACAAGTACAAGGTCAGTAAAGACATTAAGAAGCAAGAGGGGAGACTTATCTTAATGAGGATTTTCTAGTGAACTTAGCAGAAAATTAGTGGAGATGGGTGAGTGTCAGAAAAAGGTGAGCACTTGGATATCATCAGGAAGGCCAGAGCACATCCCACAATCAACCCTCAAAGGCCCTATCTCCTGGTCTGCCTGTCTCCTCAACGGCCTTGCTGCGATGTCGCCTGTGCTACAGCACTAAATGTCACACATTGTCTTGTTCTCTTCTACAGCCAGTGTGGCGTGGCCAGAAAGGGCAAGTGCTGTAGGAGCGCAGCTTCCTACAAATACCCTGGAGCCAGGGCTGTTTTGAGAAATCCACAGCAAATCTCAAGAAACAGCAAAGAGTCAAAGAATCACACTTTATTAAATTTATAAGACATGAAATATTTGTAGCTCTTTAGACATTTGCATTGTTATAAAATTATACTTTACAGTATAATTATTAATAGTTTGAAAAGGAATAAACAGTATAAATGAAATATGGCTCAAATCATGAAAATGTAAACTATATAAATCAAAATCATATAACAATGTCTGAGTTCTCAGAGCTTATCTGATATATGCATATGAAATTTCTTACATATACATACAATAAAAGTCTACAAAAGCCATCTCTCTGAAGCTAATCACTGCAAAAATGCAAAAATAAACTTTTTTCTTTTGTCTTGAGAGTGTATGGTTTGTATTTATGCAAATCACAACTAGTATAAATAGTCAGATGTCATATATATCATATATACCAGAAAATGAAACCATAAATTATGAAAATGAACGGGGCTATAAGTTAACAGTGAAAAAAATGCCCTATTCTGTTTTTCAACATTAGTTTCCATAATGAAATTAAAATATTATCCAACATGTCAAGGAATATAAAAAGGAATCTAATATAACTGTGATTTTTAAAAGTTATCCAAGGAAAACAACAATATAAATTACTTGCATAGGAATGTGCAAATATGTAAAAGGAAGCTTAAGTGGAAAACATTAAATATTCTTGTCCTTACTGAAAATACACCTTAAATTTGAAAAAAAAAAAAAAAAAAACTTTCAAAAAATCAAAAAGGGGTCTTCCGGAAAGGAAGAT